ATTCTGGCACCTGTTCCATACCCAGCGGCTCCACTGGTAAAACTCACTGGGAATTCTCCTCCGCGAAGACGCCCTTTTGCATGTGTGCATCCATCGTCATTCCTGAGCCTGTTCGGACACAGCTGCGAGCATGCGAGTGTTTTGGCTTCCCGTTTTGCGTATGCCTGTGCTTACAAAAGGCCTGAGAAAGTGCATCCAAGTCCACGTGAAGTCATTGCTTCAGTGTAAAAACAACCATCTGTCCTAGTGTTCCTCCAAGAGGCGCGGCTACACTTCCCTGGCATTTGAACCAAACTGATTGAGATAAAGCAAGATGCCACATGAGAGAAACTGCAGACTTCTAATCCCAAAAGTCAAACTATTACCTCACTAAAATTTACATTTAGATGGAATTTAGATCAGTATTACACAAAACCATTACCCGGGAAAAAGTCTGTGCTTTTGAGACCGAATTTAAAGGTTGAGCACCATCATCCACTGACTCCACTTTGGAACCACTTCACGCGTGCGAAAAATACACTTCTGAATCCATTTCCCTAGTTTGGCGAAGATAAAAATGGTGTATTAAAATGAATTGAAGGTCTCTGACATGATGGGTCTGGGCAATCTATCATGTTACTGAGAGATAATTGGTCCTGAGCACAGATTGGCTCGTAGTGAGCAGATAGCACATGTCTGAGTCTTGAGTGCCCTAAATCTGTCATTCACAATGGCCATAATGCTTTAAAAAACAGCCATGTATTATTCATAATATTCCAATTTACAGCAACCCTTGATACAATGTTCCTTTGAGGGGAAAAGGACAAGAGTGATTTTATCTCTGTTCTAAACAGGCATAATTTTGCTTCAAGTGCTACTTATGAGGAATTACTGGTTCGCCAAATGAATGGAGAAAAATGGGAAGAAGAAAAAAAAAATAAAATACAACGAGAGCATCCAGACAGAAAAGCTGAATTAAACAATGCCTATGTGCAGCTACCTCAGTGGCCAGTTAAGCGCCTTTTTAAAATTAGACTAAACGCCCACTCAGCAGTGTATTACTCTCAGTCGAACCTGCACAATAACCAAACTAATGAATGAGATGGTAGCAGATGCAAATCTAATAACCACATGTTACTAATTTCATCACGACTGTCTCCTTTCCCAATAAAGCGAATCTATCTGCTCATTACAACCAGCACCGGCGGAGGCCATGCGGCGTGTCACTGCTGATGTATGATGTCAAAGCGCACTAATTAGTGTTAGGGAGTTGCAAGGCTTGGGCTGTTCACAACTCATGTCACGTGTATTTTCACGTGATTTAGAGAAAGGCAGCGGTCAGAATAGTAAATGGCAGTTAACCACACTTATGCCATGTGAGGTGCTCGCCGGCCATCAGGAGCAACTTGGGGTTCTGTGTCGTGCCCAAGGACACTCCGTTAACCTTACGATTAGATGACGACCCCACTTGAGCCACGGTCGCTCCAGAATGCCTGCTTCGCTAAAGATAGATTTTGCAATTTTGGTTGGTGATTGTTGATATTTAGACAATTAGCATGAGCCAGATTTACCCTCCATCTCGCTCCTGCTGCCCTCCCTTTCCCCCGTTCTTGTGCACAAGAGTGTAAACGTGCATGTTTAAATAGTGTTATGTCAATCGGTCCAGGGTTGTTGTTTTTTTGCACTGTGTAACTGTGTCTAACACCAGATTTGTGGGGGATTTTAGCAGACAGTGCGAAGAAATTCACTGAATTTGACTCAAAGTGTATGACATTAAAATCACTGACTCTATCTTTAATCCACAACTAGGTTTACATTGTTTATGGACAACACAATACTTAGGACCTCTATCATTTTTGTGACATCGACGTTTTCTGAAATTGCACTATTTTTTGACAAAAACAGGCTTGAGTTTTATCGTTCATGTACTATGAAACAGATTAATGCTACCTTCATACGCTGCACAGTAGTCTAATGTCAACAAATTAAAAGGGGATTTCCTTCGTGGAAATGTACACCACTCCACCGCAACAATAAAACCACCTGTCTAATAATGTGCAGGTCCCCACCCCACATGCTGCCATTACATCTCTGAATCATCAGGACAGGAACCTTTGGGGGTTTCCTGTGGTGTCTGACACCTCAATCTTATCAGATGTTTAACGCTTGTAAACTTCACCAGTCGAACAAGAATTTTTTCTTACATCAACCGTCTCATTAAGGATTAAATATTCATTGCTGTGGGTGCAGTTTGGCCAGCACCAAAAATGACTTCCTCGAAAAAAATGCCAGCATGTAATTCCTAATAAAGTGGCTGCAGTAGCAAAGCTCAGCGGGTATTATTTGGAAACCTTTCCTTTATCACCTCATGCCTCAAGTGAGCCGAGGCTCTCCGGCCAAGAACAATTTCATTACTCGGGGCCTATATCTGACGGAGTAATCTATATGCTTACTGCAGCGGTTTATTGAACACACGAGGGATCTAATCATATTCCATTGCTTTTGTGACCCTGCCAAATCCATAAAGACTGACCACCGGTAGCTGCCCATACGACAGCAGGCAGGCCGTGTGAAGGCAGCTCAGGCCGGAGAGCGCCGAGCGTTTCCATGGAGTCAAGGCTCCAGTTGGGAGGTAATTAGATGCCTGTTGAGTCTCAACTGTGACACCTCCTCCTCCTCCTCCTCCTCTTTCTTTTATTCCATCAAAACCCCTTGTTTGCCCTTGCTCTCGTCTCCCCTGACAGAGACTCAGAGTGATTCCACATCTGAACCCTCATCTGCCGCGACCCGTCAGCGAGATCAGTCTCATCATCCCCGAGTCGGTGGCAAAGCCGCCGTGCAGCCAAAGGACATCCGAAGGCCTGTCAAGTGCACAGGCCGTCACAGCGTCATGTCCCTTTGTCGGTCGAGCTCCTGCTGAGTTGAGAAGTTATTTATGTGAGGTGTGAAAAGAAAAAAACCCAGATAGTCCTAACAATCAAGGGTCATTGGGGAAAATTTTGGTAAGGGTTGTATTGTTAAACAGGGCAAATTTACACACATTTATCAGGAATATTGAACAAAATTGGAAAGAAACAAACAGGTAGCGCTCTCTATTTATAGTTTTACTAATCCTAAACTGTTTCAGGTTATTGTTAGGCAATATTAGTATTACATATTTAATAACGTACAATTTTAAAGCTGGAAATCCCTGTGAAGGAGTATCACCAGTCAAACTTTGTAGATTTCGGTTTTGGCCAGTAAACACAGTCGTGGAATTCTGTCATGTTTGTAAAGTAGAATCGCGTGTGATCTATGACACACACACTCACACAAAGCCCTTCCCCCTCATACAACACACAGCCATAAACCTTGTGCTGGTGATAAAGCCGTCATTGCGACCAGACTAACAGCTACTGTGTTTACCTCCCGGTCAACCTGCCTCCTCTCTCTCTCTCTCTCTCTCTCTGTACTGCCGACACACTGTGGCCTCCCTCTCTCTGGAAACTCTCTCAGTCTCACGACAAACCAAAGCGATGCCCTCATTAACAGCACACCTGTTATTCTCTGCAGACTCGGCCTGAATCTGGAGGAAACAGTGAGTCCATGTCTGTACCTGCACACTTGTTACCATCTGACAGACCCTCTGCTCCTGTGAGTCATACCTGAACACGCGCTATCTGCTGCGCTGTTAGAGCAAGGTGTCGTTCCAATTCACAACCATGCGATCGCTGGGGGCGGCCGGGGGGGGCTTTATGGGGTCAGCACAGACAAGGTCAACTGAATTTTAAACCCACAAGAGGAGGAACAAAGAGCTGCACGGTGGAGAGGGGGGGGCTCGATCACAGGAGTCAAAACTGGATTGAAATAATTCACGAGGTTATCCAGAATGGATCACATGCACGACTGGAGGGAAGCAATGTCATCAAAAAAAGAAATGTTTCAAGCACATACTGAGAGGGAAGATGAGAGCATGCAAATACACATGGGTTGCATCCTGAGCGTAGGGATGAGAAGGCAGGTGTTAAGAAAGAAGTGAGAGAAGCTGCCTGCTGGAGCGCCGTGCTGCACGAGCAGTGGTCACGATATGTGATGCCCCACTCCAGTGTTTTACTCTTTGTTGGGTGGGTGGTGGTGGGGGGTTGGGGAGAAGGATGGGTGTGGGAGCAGGAGAAGCTGCCTTACTGGTAATATCAACAAACCCCGGCTAGAATTTCCCCCCACCTAACTGGTTTTTCTTTTGACAGGAACCGGTCTTACTTTCATCCACTTTGCAGTAAGCTGCAGGAGACAGATAACAAATCCTTTGACTTTGTATTGAGGTTGGAGCTATGTGAGCTGCTCCATCGCCCCTGGGTAAAAAAAACAACAACAAAAAAACACAAAAACAGGCTTCCTATCACAATTTTTTTTAGTGGATGATGCAGATTTTTTTTTCTTGTCATTTCTAGATGTGAAATATCAACAGGGCCACACCTGTTTACTCCATCCTGCCTCCCTGAGAAACACTGACATTTTGTTTTAGCAGTGAATTAATGAAGCAGGGAGTTTACACAGAGGCAGCACTCCCACGTTAATGATCACACAAGATGAGATGCGTGGAAACCAAAACCACGGTCCACCTTCGCTTCCAACACCACGGTGACATGTGTGACATTCCGAGCTGTGATAAATGTGTCATAGGAAGGAGACGCAGCGAGTCCAAAACAAGCTGGATCCCCTTTAAACACACACACACACACACACACACACACACACACACACACACCGCTGACTCACGCCTCAGACCGTGATGCCTCCATCGTAGTAAAGTGATGCAACTGCACCGATTTATCCAACGCGATAAGCGACCATGATGACATCACCGGCGCTAGTAAACTTCCAACTGTGACGACACTCCGCTCGCGGGTCGTCAAATAACTACACACACTCGCACGCGCGCGCACACACACACACAAAAACGCGCACGCAGGCTGTGGGCGTGAGCGCAATCTCAATATGCAAATACGGTAGTTGTTGCTTTTCTCAAATCCGCCACTTACCCGCACTACACTTTGATCCCCATGTTTGATCCGACTTGATGTCAAATCGATGGAACCGCCAGATATTCCCAGATTGATTACAGATCAGCTGGCATCAGTGTAAAGGGGGGTGGAGGGGAGGGGGGGGAGAGAAGTCGGAGCCGGACTCCGGAGGCGCAGTGTGCGGGGATGTGAGAGGGCAAACCGTCTGCGGGTTAGCGGCTGGCTGAAGGTCCGGGATGAGGGCAGCTCGGTTCCGGTGAAGCGGCGCGTCCCTGAAGGCGTGGCGACCCGTCCTGTCCTGCGCCACGGAGACACGGCGGACTGCACAGTACATCCACACGTCCTCGGAGCGAAGTGATCAGACAGGAGGAGAGCAGAGGAGAACTACTCACACCGGTCAAGCAGGCGTCACAACGCGACTTCTGGTTGAGGTTTTCAAAATAAGACGCGCACTGCCGGTTCGTTTGAAGACCTCGTTGCACTGCTGCCATGTTGTTGTTTGAACAAAACAGTGTATGAAGAGTTAATTTGCAAAAACAGATAACTCCATCTTCATAAACCGTCAGAAAACTCACATCGTCTACCTGAGACAATATCAACCAAACTTAAGTTATCTCTACTTTTGTCGTGTCATTTCTACTGAGTCAAATCCACTTAACTTCAGTTTGATTGATATTATCTCAAGCAAACAACAAATAAAATAAGTTTTCTGAAAATCTACAAAAATGGAGTTATGTGTTTTTGAAAATGAACTCTTCATATTTAAGATCTCAGCGACTTTAGTGTCATTGATTTCTGAAATAGCACTGCTGAGCTGTATCATTCATGGTACATTCATATACTATGAAACAGATTTATGTTGCCTTCATAATTTAAGACAATGATCTGATACTACCAGATTATACCATCTCTATCTATCCACCACTTAATCCTCACTAGGGTCACGGAGGGGCTGGAGTCTGTCCCAGCTGACTTAGGGCAAAGGCAGGGGACACCTAGGACAGGTCACCAGTCTATCACAGGGCTGAGAATTAAAGGCATGAGGGCTCATTCAGGACCCTCTGTGCATGTTTAACAGCAGTCTTTTCATGGACTGTTTAGGGCTGGGTGTTCTTACCTCCCAATCTTTTTCAAGAACAATTCAATTCAATTCAATTCAATTTTATTTGTATAGCGCATATTTACAACAACAGTCATCTCATAGCGCTTCACAAAGGCAGAAACAGAAACACCCAACAATCCAAAACATTTGGATTCCCTATAAGCTTCAGCACTCCGAACAGCTGGAAGTAAAATAGGATGAAATCAAAAACCTGAATCCAGGATTTAAAATGTTGACCCAAACAATGTGCATCAGTTGACAAGTTTCACTTCGTGCTGTAATTAGTAGGCGTGTAGCTTTTATTTTGAAGGTAGAGCTCATTTCCGGTAGTGTGCTGTAATATCTGTAGTTTGATGCTGCGGTGGGAAGCAGCGATACACTCCCTCTCTCCCTCAGTCCCTGCATACACACTCTCCAGTTTAGACCTCTGCTGTGTGTGGTGTCATTTCTTTTACAGATTATATCCTCTTTCATTTGACAGAACTGTTTAGAGACAATGGAAACCATTTAACCAGTGAAATAACATGTATTGGAGAGTTTATTCACTAAGGCTGTGAATATTGCAGACCTGCATCGCTTTGAATCCCTCTCCATCAGTTTCAAAACCAGTAGGCCTGTCAGAGACACAGCAAGAATGCTAATTTACTCCTCAGAAATGGTTTGGCTAATGAGTCATCCCATTACAAACAATCTCAGGACAAATGTGGTTCTGCAAATTACAAGTAACACTTTTTAAAATTTGTAATCCTCAGGCAAACCATCTTCTATTACCGCGGCCTGAGTGACACTTCATACTATGACCCCTGAATGAAAGGACCATTTCTGAAATGAGACGCTAAAACACATAATTGTATTTCCATTAAAAGCTGACTTAATTAATGCCATTAGCCTGATACAGAACCAACAGTGAAGGAATGTCTGAAATCCTCCCTACTGAGTGGAGATGGGATGTTGGAGTGATGGATTAGGGGAGGGGGATGTTGCTCGGTGTTATCCTGGTTGTCGTAACATTTCTTTTTTTTGTGTTGCATGCTTGAGTTGTGAGTTATTGGAAGGTAGTAATTAATTTGACGCAAAGCATTAGAGAGAGTGAAGGGGGAGAGATGGACCAAGAGAAATAATTAAGCGGATGAGATGCAGAGTGGTAAAGGTCCTTGTCGGGCCATGAGGGTTTGTGTGTGAGCTGCTGTCCCTGGAGCTTTGATGCCTGCTGTTGGGCCTTCTGGATGAGGGAAAGGACGGGTCTGACATTGCAGCAGAGGACAGAGATAAATCTCCTTCTCTGTTTTATTCACACACACATAGGCAGGTGCAGAAGGTCCTGCTACACTGAGGGGTGAGAATGAACCGACGAGTACGCATGCTGTTCCATGCATGTTGACCTATTTGTGTTTCACGGGACATTACCTTAACCTTAAAGAACATTTCTGGTTTATCACAACTTAGGTCTATTGATTTCTATTGATTATCACTGCATTTTATTGACCAGAGCAGATGAGATTAAGGGGTCATCACGAAAAAGAAGTCAGATGAAACAAGCCCAGTATCCATCCATCCATCCATCCATCCATCATCTATACACGGCTTAATCCTCACTAGGGTCATGGGGGGCTGGAGCCTATCACAGCCAACTTAGGGTGAAGGCAGAGGACACCCTGGACAGGTCGTCAGTCTATCACAGGGCTACACTTAGAGACAGACAACCAAGCACACTCACATTCACACCTACAGACAATTTTGAATCACCAGTTAACCTCAACATGTTTTTGGACCTTGTGGGAGGAAGCCAGAGAACCCACACTGCACGGGGAGAACATGCAAACTCCACGCAGAAAGATCATGAACCGGCAACCTTCTTGCTGTGAGGCAACAGTGCTACCAACTGCGCCACCTTGCAGTCCCAAGCCCAGTACATTGAAGGGATTTCATATACATTGGACAACTCTGACTCTCCTGATTTAACATTTCATGACACTGTAGGGAGCAGTGAGGCCAAAGCAAGGCTGTGCATACAAAAGACCACATTCACATTGCCGATCTGCTGCGAAATCTCTCTCTTTTTTTCTTCACTGTAATCAGTCAGTCTTTCTCTTGAGTCTTTCTTTAAGCTTTACCAATCATCATAGTTTCCTAATTTATTTTAAATAACTGGCACTGGATGGTAAAATACAGTTTGGAATGAAATGTGATCTAAGATTTAGCAGAATTGGCCAATGATGGGTTTGCAATAAGCTGAATTTGTGGGTAAAACAAAGTGAACACATCAGTTCAATTCAGTATGCTGTAATACATCATGAGGTCACACTATTGCCAACACATCAAGGATGTGTTCAAATATAATGTCAAAAAACGAAACAAAAAAATGTAATTATTAAGTTAAACAATGAGCTGGTAATATCAAACATGTGCTTTGCATGAGAGACCGTGGTTTCCACATCTATAACCGGCTATGCTGAGATAATAATTTGTCACGTTCAGTGATGTTGTTTTAATTATGTGTCTCTCGGTTTGTGATATGCAGTCACATACTGAGCAGTCAGGTACGCTGCGTCGCTTCTACTAATGGAATCTGTTGATTTTCACTGTCATCTCACTATCTGAAATAATCAAATATAATAATCATCTGGCCTTCACAGAAAAAAAAACACAGAACTGCAACAAGCACAGCAGGATCAAATGTTTGCTTTGTCTTTCAAATCAGTGTGAAAGACCAAATTAGTTTGCTTGAAACCTACATGAGTATCTAATTACTTGCAGTTCTTGCTGTGCTGATTTTCTTCATGGATCCGTGATATCAGAGACCAATTTTGTAGTGTTATCATGATTGATATAAATGATTGCCAATATCCCAAAAGTCTTGAAGATCCCCTGAAAATCAAGTTTTTAATGTTGTTACCATGTTCATATGGTATTTTTTTTATGTGTTCGAAGATACAAGGTGTGTCAGAAAAGTTTCAGGACTGTTGTCACAAGAGATATATTTCAAATCCAAACTACAATCTACAAGTTTTCCTCTTTGAAGTAATCCCCCCTGGAGTCTAACACACTTCCCCAGCCTTCTCTGCCACGCAGCCATGCACTCCTGGAAGGATCCTACCTGGATCCTCCGCAGCTCTGTCATCATAGCCATCTTGATGTCGTCCACGTCTTCAAAACGGGTCCCCTTGATGACCCCCATGAGCTTGGGGAAGATTAAAAAATCACATGGAGCCAGGTGGGGTGAGTAGGGAGGTTGCTCCATCGCGGAGATGTTCTTCTCAGCCAGGAACTGTCGGATGCTCAGGGCATTGTGAGCAGACGTGTTACCATGGTGAAGCAGCCACGACTTGTCCTGCCACAATTCCCACCTCTTCTAAACTACTGAATGAAGCAAACGCCACAGAATCTCTTTGTAGATGTGCTGGTTGATCGTCTGAAGGGCAAAACTCGTAGTTTGGGTTCGAAATATATCTTTCGTGAAACCAGTCCTGGAACTTTTCTGACACACGTAGGACGTCATGAGTAAAATAAGCAGTCAACACCGTAGCTGACTGCATGGTCTACTTTGAGACTCCAGTCAGTGTACCAATGGTAATCTCAATCTGGGGGTTTCATACGCAACAAACCGAAGGAACCAAGGCTGAGTACTTGTGGGTTGCAGCTTTTCATATCATTATCCTTCCTCAAAACCAGTTTCTGGTTTGAACACGTGGTTAAATTACTCCAATATTACAACTTTCCATTATGTAGCGTAGAGTACTTTTACAGTGTTTGAGTCGAATCATAGAAGGAACTTGTGTGCTCGAGATGCAGCGTTTGGCAGACAGGTGGATGGAGAGAGAGGCAATGGCTTAATAGATGTATACATTTTTCAGAAGCAGCACTTCGGAGTCACAGCTAAGCTACTTCAAGGGAGGAAGGGATCATCATTTTCCTGATGAAATATTCTAAACATTTAAGTCTGAGTTACGGAGATGGGTTTTTAGGTTTTTAATCAAAGAGACTTTAAGTATAAAATAATTGGTTGGGCTTGTGGTGATCAAATGTTTCTCCCCAGATGGAAGGGTGATTTCCCACAGTGCGACTGTGTGAACATATGCAGTTAATACACAAACGGCACCCAAACACAACAATGATTCAGGCAACATATGGGGATAGCTATGGAAAAGTAGTTTGAGTTGTGCGGCCGGTCTCTCTGTGAGAACGTTCGTGAGTGTTTTAGACATTAACTCACTCACTCAGCTTGTTGAATATTCATC